AATCGCCGCTTCTCAGTCCCTTGTTCTAATCGCTGCTCCGCTCCCTGGTGAGAAACCTTAGACAACAAGGCAGTGACTGGCTCTGCAAAGCACTGATGACAACAATGCGGAGCTTCTTCCCCCGCTCGCCGGCAGCGTGGGATCATGACCCAGCATAAGCAAGTGATGCTACGACCGGAGGGCAGAAACTTTTGGCAGCAGAAAGAGGGTCTGAACCTCTTGGAGGGGGGCGGCTGTCCTGGAGGGGGCAGAGGCACGGGAAGACCGAGGTCCTTAAGCGTGAAACGTGGGGAAGGAGCCCCTGTGAGTGCGTGGCCGAGGTTTGCCCCGTCGCATTGCGCAGAGCCGGACTGGGCAGCAGCGAGGGCAGAAAGCTCCTCGGACGTGTCCAAGCGTGCTGCCCGCCGCTGGGCAGAGCCCTGCTGAGCTGCCCGTGCTGGCACTGCCTCGCCAGAAGCCGAGCCGAGGTGACTGTGCAGAAATAAGAGAAGTGCCCGGCACACCAAGCCCTCTGCCAGACCTTTGCATCCTCCCTGTGCCTGGAAGTGCTGACCAAGTCCTTCTGCTCTCGACGGGGTGGTGCCAGCTGGGACAGAAAACAGGGGAGAGGGTCCCCGTTTCAGGGACGTGGAGCTGCCTTTCTTGTTCCTCTTACTCTCCGGCTGTCCACTACCGCCCTGCCTGGGAGACAGATGGGGTAAGAGGCAGGAATGTGTGATCCAAGGTGGTGAAAGCCCGACCCCGCCGGCAGCGGTGGTAGGAGCTGCTCCAAACACCGGCCTGTCCCGCCACTGGCAAAATGGCCTTATCGGAGGCTGCTCGGTCTGGCTGTGCGGGCCAGCTGGAGGCAGGAGGGCGGCTGGGAAGCCTGGCGAGACCCAACACCACATACGCAAGTATCTGCAAAAGAGAAAAGCAGTGCGGGGGACCCTCCTTGCATCGCTTTTACTTCCCCTCCTCAGGAATTAATCTTTCTGACGACGCTTCTTACATGGGGTTCTCCAGGGGTGTCTCAAAAAATCCACCGAGCTCCTGGGTATAGCTTGGTATGTATTTATTTTGAGTTCCCCTGCCTCGATGACAACAGCAGTGAAATCGAAAAGGCAGCCGGGCGCTGCATGTGCCTACAGCCGGAGGGGTGGCTGGAGTTCAGAGCTCCTGGTCTGGTGCCCGGGGTGCTCACAGCACGGACCACGCTGTGGTCACCGCTGCTAAGAGGACGGTGCCATACGGCGGCAGCAGGTGGAGCAACTTCAACCCCTTTTCTGTTCCTCCTCAGACAACGCGCTGAGCACCTGGGGCTGTTACCGCCAGCTCCGTCAGGGCTCTTGTCCTTACACAAGTTTTGGGTTCCAGCCGTTCCTGAAGTGGTGGGAGCTGCAGGTGGCCAAGAGCTGGGAGGGTCTGTGCTGGGAGCTCATCCCTCAAGGTGAGGAACCAGAAATGGTGGGACCAGAACCTCCTCAGGTGGCCCAACATGTGCCTGTGGCCGAGCAGCGGAGCCCCCGCCCCTGCCTTGGCTGGGAGAGAAGGAGTCGGAGAAAACAAAGCTGCTTGTTCGCTGCGGCGGTGGGGCTGCTGATGCCTCCTGGATGACAAAGATCTTTTCCATCCCTGTGCACACCAAGGGCTGGGCCCTGTTTTGTGAGAGGATTTGAGTAACCAGCGAGCCCAGCATGTCACCACGCTCCTCAAGCGAACCTCCCCAAACTTAAATACAGTTGCACAACTTGCTCGTGATTCACTTTTCCCCTCCCCATGGCGAGATCTGGAGGGCATGCATCTGTGGCGCGGTGTTGCAACCCCCGCTGCTCAGCTGTTCCTGGCAGGCAGGCTCCGACAGCCGGGAAGAGGCTGCCAGGTCCTGCTGGCTCTCCCCTTCCACCGCATTCCTCCTAATTTGGTAATTACCCCCCCGTCACATCAGATCAGTGCCCTCTTGAGATCAGGACAGAAGATCCTTGGGAGGATGTGGTGGGGAGAGCTGTGAGAACTGTTCCGCCTCTCCCTGGACATCCCCAAATCTACCAGCCCTGCAGTGATGGTCTCCTGACCAGGACACACCGAGCAACCAAAAGCAAGGGTGTCCTTGTCCTTGGCGGGGTGTCTCCTGCAGGACCGGCTCCCTCAGGGGGTAACGTTTAACATCAGGGCCAGTCTTAGACGTCAGTCGGAAAATACTTTGCCTTGGTTGCAGTGGGATACGCGAGACTTCGTATTGCTTCCTCTCTAGGATCCTAAAAGATAAACTTCTTTGAAGTCCATTAACAAACTCGCTAGGACAAAAGGTTATTGTAAACATCGGTGCAAACATCTAGTGATGCGCTTCTGCTGATAAACCTTTGGGGACTGACGGGAAGCCGCCTGCCCGTGGGTCCCCGGTGGGTATCTGTGGCAGTGCCTTCGCTGCGGAGCTCCCCATGGATGCTGGCGTTTTTCTCCTTTATCTGCTCAGTCGTAGACAGGAAGCGTTTCGTACAGTGCCCTTAAACTGATCTAGCAGCGCGCTAAAAATAAATCTTCTCTGTGAAGCCACAAACTCCTGCCCTATCTGCTGTGTCAGCTCCTGGACAGAACCTGCTGTGAGAGTTCAAGGTTTCTTGAGACAGAGGCTTGTACCCCGCTCACGGCGGGGGAAGCGTGCCTGCAAGCGGGAGCCGCAAAGGCTGAGAGAACAAAATACAAAGGAAAGAAACTGAGCGTCTGTTTTCAGAGATGTGCTAAGCCGTACTTTGGGAGGGGCCGGGTGGGAGGCATGTGACTCCTATTAAACCTTTTGAGGTAACTCATCTTGCAAACAGTGGGAAAT